GAGCCTCACTTTTGTGTATACGCTGTCAGCAGAGGGGCCTGCGGAGACAAGACTTGTTGAATAAGCTCTGGCAAGAGGAGAGGAAGAAGGCATCATGAAGGTTGAAGATCATGGTGAAGGGCGAGGTGGATATTGTCCTGCTGTCATGAAAACCAGACTGATGGGGAAACATAACCCCATCCTCAGGGAGCTTTCCGCAGTCTGAAGGGAAGTAAACGGGCCCTGAAAACAGCTAGCTCCCAGTATTACGGGGGACACACAGGCCCCCCTCTCAGGGAGCTTTCAGTCCGATGGAGGAGGCAGGTATATCCTTCAGGGAGCCCCAGGTCTAATGGAGGATACACAGCACTTACACTCGGAGCTCCCTCAGACACAGCCCCTTTCCTCATGGTATTTTCTAGTCTGATGGGAGAGTGACAAGCTCTGTCTTCAGGGATTCCCAGGGAATTCATTTTTGTTTTGTTTTGTTTTGTTTTGTTTTTGAGACGGAGTCTCACTCTGTCGCCCAGGCTAGAGTGCAGTGGCGCGATCTCAGCTCACTGTAGCCTCCACCTCCTGGGTTCAAACGATTCTCCTGCCTCAGCCTCCTGAGTAGCTGAGACTACAGGCGCCCTCCACCATGCCCGGCTAATGTTTTGTATTTTTAGTAGAGACGGGATTTCACCGTGTTAGCCGGGATGGTCTTGATCTCCTGACCTCATGATCCACCTGCCTTGGCCTCCGAAAGTGCTCGGATTACAGGCGTGAGCCACCGCGCCCAACCTCCCAGGGAATTCCTGTGGGAAAAACCCAGGTCATGCCCTCAGTGAGACAGATGCAGAGACACAAATACAAGTCATGAAGTTCTGAAATTTCAGTGCCCAGCTAATTAGGTAGATAAGAAAATCCAGTATTTGAAAAAAATTATTAATAGTTATTTATTTTACAAATAGGTTCACTGTAGTCCTCTTTAAATAATAAGTTTCCTTAGTTCATTCTAGCTGGTGTTTAGTTTTAAAATATCCTAGTTACATAAAACCCATAGATCAAGCCTGTCCAAATGTACATGTAAACAAACTCCCAATGGTGTGTGAACCACAGGATTCTACAATTATTCACTTTCCACCTGCAATATCTTTCTCTCTATGCTGAGGAGTGAGATGTGGTCCAAGCCCTCATAATCCACAGTCTGGTAGAGAGAGAGCAGAACTGCGGTGTGCAGGGTCACTCAGGGGACAGAGAGAGGGAGAAAGCTGCCGTGGGGTCCCTCCACCCCTCTGCCTGCCCTAAACTCACCACTGACTCTTGTGATAATTTCACCCCAGAGCCTTCCACAAAAACACACATAAAAAGACTCTTCCCCATAGTAGAGAACAGAGAGCACACATTTTGGAGTCAAAATAAACAACGGTTGAAACCCTGTTTTTACCACTTAGCGGTGTGATCAGGTCACCTGTTTGATACAGAAATATCAAAACAGACACTTGACTGATACAGAAATATTTCTGCTTCTTTATCAGTCAAGTGAGACGAGCACCACACCCCTCACAGGTTGCTGTGAGAATTCTGCCCCAGGTCAGTGCTTTGCACACAGTGCGTGCTCAACGCATGCTTCCTTTTCCCACATGCTAGGGGCTCCCAGTTCCTCTAATGGAACCCAGAGCTGTGACAGTCAAGGGCCCAGAACCCAGGACATCTGTCCCAAGTCCCACCCAGCAGCCACTAGAGCTGAGGCTCTGCGTAAGGCAACACCCCCTCTGAGCATCCCTCTGTCCCTTGCAGACTAAACAGAATGATCCAACTTCATTATTTGGTGGATGAGCCTAGGATTTCTTAGCATAAGAGAAACCCCTTTCTGTCCTGGCATTGGGAAGCTGTTTCTTTACTCTCTGGGAGATGCAGAGCTGGGTGACCTTGGGATGGGTCTCCAGGGCACTGTCTTCATGTGTGTCTACACCTCCCACCCCTCTCACAGGCAGTGGTGAGTCTTGCCAACCCCCACCATGCCCAGAACTGAACAGGAAGTGGTAACTTTGTTGCCATGGCAGCGAGAGGGGCAGGAATGGGTGAGGTCCCTCAAGGAGCATTGGTTTCTGTGAGGTGGGAAAGGCATTCACACACTGGTCCCTTCAGGACAGAGGCAGGGACAGGATGTGGCATCAGCATTTCAAGAAAAATGCTCAAATTCAGTTCAAAGCACGCATGATGCAATGATTGCTGTCATAACTAAACAGGGCTTCCTGACAGAGGCCAAGCAGAGAAAGCTATTTGTGTGAGGCAATTGAGGGCTCTGCTTTGAAGCCTGAGGAAGCCTAGCAGATAAAGGGGCCAATGCAGAGAGGGTCCAGAGCTTTATCTTAGCTTGGGAGGCCTGGGTTAGCTTTGCCTGGGGCCTGATATTAGGGTAAAGAGCTACTAAGTCAGCCCTAATCTCCTCCTTCCCCAACCCACAAAACACTAAACAAGAAAATTGCTGGTAAGGAGGGTAAGAAAAAGGCCCTGAGCTCCTGCCTCTGTACCCACTCCCTCCTCCACAAGGCAGCCCCTTCTCCCCTTACCTGAGACGCAACCCTGTGGCCACAGCAGCAGCAGCAGCAGCAGCAGGAAGGCTGGGGCCATGGTTCCATCCAGCTGGTCAGTGTCAGGCCTGGAGATCCAAGGTGAGGGCCCACCCGACACAGGATGTGCCACCTGGGCCTGCCAGGGAAGGACCTGGGGTTCTAAAAGTGAAGCTGCCCATTTAGGGAAGTGAGGCAGTGTGGGACCCACTGCCTCCAGCCAACCGCAGGGATTCATTGAGCCCATGATGAGGGCGGTGCTGGCAGCTGTTTCCGCCCTTTTCCTCAGAACTTCAGGCAGGTGTGGCTGCTCCACCCAGTCTGGGGCCCCAGGCCAGGGAGGACTCACAGTCAGAGGGCTCTCCGCCCTCCCCAGTCTCCCCTGGAAACTGGTCCCTAGGATCCAGCTAGGGGACTGGGGTGAGGCTTCTGGAACCTCAGGTATAGACTTTCCTGGAATCTTCTGGGCTCAGAGACCCAGGGGTGTAGGCTCTCAGGCTGAGATGGAGCATCTCTGACCCTAGTTTCCTACATATACACATTCACAGCGAAGTTCTTATAAACTCTCATTCATTCATTCATTGCAGATTCTTTCTGTTCCTTCCTCTCTCTCTCCGCCAGGCTCCTGGCTGCTCAGAACAGTCACTTGTGTTCACTGTTGCAAATAACCTCTTACAGGCTCACTTGAAATCTTACTTTTGTCAAGGGCGAAAATGCAAATTGTAAGACTCAGGGCATAAAGTTTGGGTTGAGGGAGGGGTTCCTGTACTCTCACACATGGGTGTGCATGCACATACACTCACACACAGTCTTTGTCTTTTATTCACTTTCACACACACACACACACACACACCCATGCACACAGTCTCATACGCACCCCAGCGGCCTCTCCTTTTCCCTATCCATGCGTCTCCTGTCTCTATCCCTCTCTCTGCCTCTCCTCCTGTCGTCTCTACTCACCATCAGCTCCCTCTAGACTCCTAGTCCCTCGTGCAGGCTTCCTATAGCCACCGCAGTACTTCCCCTCACCCACCTCACCTCAAGAGCCCCTTCCTTCCCTGCCTCCAGCCTCTGTCAGCATGCAGGCAAGCACCCTCCACTTCCTTCTGCTCAATGCTATCTCGCCTATACAGCCACCAGCTCCAGTGGAAATGACCCAGCACTTGGTCCAAGACCACACCCTTCACTTACCCCAAGGCCTAGAATCAGAAGCATCGATTTCTGATGTCCAGTACCTGTGTCATCTGCTCCTTCAGTGTGTGGGGACCCAGCTGGACCCCCATGGTTATGTATGCTCCCCCTACTCACTAGTGCCATGTTTCTACTCCTTAGATGGGACTGTCAAAAAGTAAACTGAGGCACAATAAAATTTTAAACAGATTATTTGAGCAAACAACAATTCATGAATCAGGCAGCTCCAAGCAGAAGAGGTTGAGGAGCTCCACTGGAGGAATGCAAGGGGAAGACTCCTGCAGGACAAGTAAAGTGAAGAAAATATTTAATTGGTTACAGTTATACAGTTCCCTTATTTGGCCTATCCTGTTGGAAAGACCCTAGTTATCTACATAAGCTTGTTGACTTCTTCTGACTGGTTGAGCTTAAGTTCTGTTCTTCCTTAATGTACACATTTACAAGAAATAGCTCAAGTTAAGTTTCACTGATGTTTGCAAATCAAGCAAAGTTGAGGTCACTTATGAGGCCTGTTTTTTTTTTTGTTTTTTTTTGTTTTTTTTGTTTTTTTTCCCCGCAGGGACTCTTCAGGCCTGGTCTCCATTTTCATTCATTTTAACAGGACTCAGAGCAAAAAGTCCTCAAGCTTTCACGGCCACAATCTTAAACTAACGTTGGACACCCAAGCTCCAAGTAAAGAAGTCTATCTTGACTGACCCTTATAGTCTCTCAACTCATTCACTCACTCATTCATTCATTCATTTGTTCATTCCCACAACCTCATTGCTATGCATGGGGCTAGGTAGGCACTGGGGGCACAGGAATGAGACACAGTTGTCACCTGAGACCTCTCAGCTCACAGGTGTGTTTTGTTTTCCTTCTTCACCCTTCCTTTTTCAGTATTTCCCACCCAGTCCTCAGAACTTCCTGAGCTCCCTGAGTTCAGAGGTCATCTCCCATCCGCAACACACACAGTATGTTCCTTCACCCCTTCCCCCATCAGAACAGTAAGCTGCTTCAGGAGTGGAGGATTTATCTCTTGTGGGGACTTCATGGGCTTGGAACCCATGATTCTATGAAACTGATACAGTGTGCCCAGCACTGAGCCAGGCATCGTCAAAAGTGTGACCCTCGGGATCACTGTGCTGATGAGGGTAGAAGGGTTCAAACACTCACTCACTGACTGAGGAAGTATGTACTGGATTCAACCTTTCTTAAGAGAAATTTGGAAGCATTGGTCAAAATCATTAAAAATATGTATACATTAGACTTTTACATCCATCATTTGATTTAACACAGCAGTGTATTTTGTCTTTATATTTATTTTTCCCATTAAAAAATTAAGGCCTAATTTACATACAGTACTTTTCACCCTTTTCAATGAACAGTTCTGGGATTTCTAGAGACTTGTATCCAATGCCATAATGGAGACAGAGAAGAGTGCCATCATTCCCAAAAGCTTTCCCCTGCTCCTTGTTAGTCATCCCTTCAGTCCCAGACAAACATTGATCTGGTGGGGTTTTTTCCTATCGTTTCTCTCTTTCCAGAATGGAAATAGTACAGTATGAAGCACTTTATGTTGACTTATTTTGGTGAAGTCCAAATATAATTTTTATGGATCATATTTTTATGTCATATCTAATAAATCTTTTCTTAACCCAAGGTCACAGTGACTTTTTTCAACAGTTCTGTGAGCTATAATTCACATAATATAAAACTGACCCACCTGAAGCATACAATTCAGTGCTTTTCAATATATTCACTGAGTTGTACAACTATCACCAATTTTACAGCATTTTCATGTCCCCTCCTCCCAAAGAAACCCCATGCCCATTAGCAGGCACTCCCTGGATCCGTTTCCTATTACTGCAGACTGGGTGGCTTAAAACAGTATTAACTTATTATCTCGCCATTCTGAAGGCAGAAGTCTGAAGTCAGTATCACACTGTACTGAGATGAAGATGTCGACAGGGCTACAGTCTCTCCAGAGACTCTAGGGAAGAATTTGTTCCTTGCCTTTCCATCTTCAGGTAGCCGCCAGCATTCTTTGGTTTGGGGCTGTTTTACTCCAATCTTCAAGGCCAGCATCTTCAGTCTCCCTCTGCTCCATCTTCACATCACTTTCTCCTCTTTGTGTTCAAATCCCCCTCTGGCTGTCTTACATAAGGATACGTGTGATTGCATGTAGTTCCCATCTATGTAATCCAGGATAATCTCCCCATCTCAAGATGTTTAACTTATTCACATCAGCAAAGATCTTTTTTTTTTTTTTTGCCATATAAGGTAACAATCACAGGTTCCAGGGATTAGGACACAGGTATCTTTTAAGAGGACATTTATCAGCTTACCACAGTCCCCATTCCTACAGTCTCAGGCAATATATTTATTATATATACAATCCCAGGCACTAATATTTTTGTCTTTATAGACAAAAAAATCAAAACTTATTTTAAAAAAATAATCAAAAATTTCTTGATCAATTCTGGACATGTCATAAAAATATAATTGAGCAATATGTGTTCCTTGTGACTGGATTCTTTCATTTAGCAGAATGTTTTTCAGGCTTGTCCATGTTGTAGCTGTACTTGTGCTATACGTTGTATTAATACATCATTCCTTTGAAAGGCTGAATAATATTCCACTGAATGAATATATATGTTTACCATTTATCGGTTAACAGATATTTTATTTGTTTCCACTATTTAACTACTATAAGCAGTGTTACTATGACTATTCATGTACAAGTTTTTGTGTGGACATACAAGTTTTGTGTGGACTCATTTCTCTTGAGTACATAACCAATAGTAGAACTACTGGATCATATGGCAACTCTACGTTTAACATTTTCAGGAACTCTCACATAGTTTTCCAAAGTGGCTGCAAATTTTTCACCCTCTCCAGCAATGTATGAGTGCTCTCATTTCTCTGCAATCTCTCCAATACTTGTATTGGCTTTCTGTTTATAGCCATCCAGTGAATGTACTTACGTTTTGAATTGTAGTTACCTAACAATTAATGATATTGTGCAGCTTCATCTTGAGCATGTACAATTTGCCCATTTGTATACCCTTGGAGAAATATTTATTCAATTGTGTTGTATGTCTTTTATAGCATTTGCACAATATTGTGCCACCTTTTTCTGGCTTCCATTGTTTCAGATGAAAAATTCACTACAATTAGAATTGGTGTTCCTTTATAGATAATTATTTCTCTCTGGCCATTTTAAAGATATTTTCTTTGTCTTTACTTCTCAGAAGGCTATCTATGCTGTGTCTTGGTGTCTATTTCTTTGGCCTTATTATATTTGTGATAAAATCAGATTCTTGGATTTGTAGCTTTAGGTCTTTGGGCAGATTTGATTAGACGTTTCTTTGAATACATTTTCAGGCTCACATTTTTTCTCCTTTCCTTCTGGGACTCTGAGGATGCAAAGATTAGCTCTTATGTTAATGTCCTGCAGATAGCTGACATTCTGTTCATTTATTTTCAGTCTGTTTTCTCTCTGATCAGACTGAGTAAATTTTCTCAGTCTGCCTTCCAGTTAACTAATAACATCCTCTGTCATCTCCACTCTCCTATGGAGTCCACGTAGTCAGCTTTTAATTTTGGTTATTGTTGTTTTTAATTCCCACATATTTTATTGTTACTCTGTTCCCAAAAGAATAAAAAAGAGTAAATGGAAAGAAGAACTACTAATACTTGAAAAAATAGTACCGAGGATTTTTCAGAATTAAACAAATATCTAAGACTTCAAATTGAATGTGTTCAGAGAGTTCCAAATAGAATGGATAATTAAATAGTCCATATTAAACATACCATAATAAAAATTCAAAGGGAAAATTATAAAAATATTGCAGAGATAAAAGTGGTCAGTAAAGATGAATAACCATCAGATTGTTATCCGACATTTCCATAGCAACACTGCGAAGGTAAGAAAACAATGAAATATATTCAAAATTTTGAAGAAGTATATGTCTTTTACATGTTAACTTATGACATAGAATTTGCCACCCACTTGAAAATTGTGGTTAAGAGAACTATGACAATTTTGAGGCCAAGGATGTTAAGATAAAATATTTAAAAGTTATAACTAAATGCTAGCTCTTAGCATCTGATTGAGGAAGACCTATTTTTGTTTAGTCCACTTTTATCCCACCACCAATGTTCTTTAAGTGAAGCTCAACATTTCCATACTGTAAGTGAACCCATCCCAATCTGCTGCAGTTGCATAAGTTCAATAAATTGAGAAAGGATTGGGTTCAGTCACATATGACTGAAAACCAAATAGCAGTGGCTTCAACACACAACTGTTTATTTTTAGGTATCATTTTAATTATGAAAATTCCCAAGAAGGCACAAAAGTATCTCACAAAAAAGAAATAATCGGCCAGGCACGGTGGCTCATGCCTGTAATTCCTGCACTTTGGGAGGCTGAGGCGGGCAGATCACCTGAGGTCAGGAGTTTGAGACCAGCCTGACAAACATGATGAAACCCCATCTCTACTAAAAATACAACAGATTAGCTGGGGGTGGTGGCAGGCGCCTGTAATCCCAGCTACTCAGGAGGCTGAGGCAGGAGAATCGCTTGAACCCGGGAGGCAGAAGTTGCAATGATCCAAGATCGCACCACTGCACACCAGCCTGGGAAACAAGACAAAACTCAGACTCAAAAAAAAATTTTTTTGAAGGTAATTATACATCTATCCCCTATGTAGCATCACTCAGTTACATTTATTCTTGCCTTCCATTTTTTTTATTGGCAATACCATTCCATAGGTTGTGCTGTTTACTTCACATAGACTCACAGAAAATAATCTCTAGTGTCTAGATTCGTGTTTTGGGCAACACAAGCTGACAGCATTACTCAGACATCTGAGATCATAAAACCCAGCCGATGCCATCTGGGTATAAGTCCTAAAGGAAGTCTCACCTGATTCCACCAGAGAACATGATGGACAATATTCCTCACAGTATTGTTTGCAATATGGAGAAGTGAAGGCAAAACAGCACATGCACTCTGGGTTTGGAATGATACACTGTGGAATATGTACACAACGGAATAAGCACTGAAAAGTGGGCTGTGTATATGTACCCGGGAAGGAACAAAACGAATATATGAAAAAGGTCTATCACAATTTCTTACATGTAAGTTAAAATACAGTCACAGAAAGAAAAGCTGCATGCTTTACAAGAATATATTCAAATTTAAGGTTACATATCAAATGTATTAGAGTGGTTGCCTCGGAGGGGAAGGCAAGTGGAAATAGGGAATGAGGATTAAAAAAAAAAAAGAAAGCAAAAGTGGTGCCTGTCACAGATAGGTGATGGTCATATGGCAGGAGCAGTGATATACATGAAGAGACTTCTGTTTGATGCCTGTATTAGTCCCTTTTCATACTGCTATGAAGAAATACCCGATACTGGGTAATTTACAAAGAAAAAGAGGTTTGATGGACTCACAGTTCCACATAGCTAGGGAGGCCTCACAATCATGGCAGAAGGTGAAGGAGGAGCAAAGGCACATCTTACATGGTGGCAGAGAGCATGTGCAGGGGAACTGGCCTTTATAAAACCATCAGATCTTATGAGACTTATTCACTATCAGGAGAACAGGAAGGGAAAGCTCACCTCCACGATTCAATTACCTCCCACCAGGTCCCTCCCACAACATGTGGTGATTATGGGAGCTACAATTCAAGATGAGACTTGGGTGGGGACACAACCAAACCACATCAATGCCCCTCTCCAGAAAGAGCAAAAGAAAATGGTACTCTCTCTGTTTTTTGTTTGTTTGTTTGTTTTTGGGTTTTTTTGAGCCTGTTGCTCAGGCTGAATTGCAATGGAGCAATCTCGGCTCACCGCAACCTCTGCCTCCCAGATTCAAGTGATTTTCCTGCCTCAGCCTCCCGAGTAGCTGGGATTATAGGCATGTGCCACCATGCCCAGCTAATTTTGTATTTTTAGTAGAGACGGGGTTTCTCCATGTTGGTCAGGCTGGTCTCGAAACCACCGTGGCCTCCCAAAGTGCTGGGATTACCGGCATGAACCACCGTGGCTGGCCAGAAAATGGTACTCTCTTTATGGTGGCCTTTTTCAGGGCTGGCATTCAGCTGCTATGCACTGGTACCCCAAATTGGTTGTTCATGGTGGACCCCCATTCTGAGTAGTCAATTCCAGCCTCACTATGTTACCTGGTTCGAAAATGACTGTGCCTCTTCTTGTTTCACAGATGTGTGCTCCTCTTGCGTTCCCCAAAACATTTATCTTTCTCCCACCATCAATTATTGTTAGTTCAACTTAATTTTCTCTTTTAGGCTACGAATCTCCTCACACATTAAACATACAAAATTTTGACCCCTGATGATCAGATTCCATTGAATGTTCTGGGTCCTGTTTTAGGCTGCTGAATCCACTGCTCTTGTCATTTTAAGGCATCTGATTTTTTCGTTTACTTCTAGGACTTCCTCAGTTTCCAGTCTGCTGATTACAGCCTTTCTTAGTTTCAATTTTATCGTTTATTTTTAAGTCATTTCTCTCTCATTTAGGGTGGAAGGGGAGGAGGTTGAGGGGATACATCTGCCCTCTTGCTCAGTTGCCCCTGACACATTTCAGTTTAGAGGTTGAATTTAATTAAGCACAAGAGGAAACTGATAGGACTCTTGGGCAGACCACAGGCAACAAACAGGGAAAATGTGAGGGATCCTGGAGACCTGCTGAGGTGGGGCTGAGAAAACCACAGAGTGCTGGGGACGAGCGCTGGCACAGCTGAAGATGCTGAGCTGGGCGTTGACCCGGATACAGAAACCCCCGCCCCAGGTCTTCCCAATGGCGAAAGGCAGGGCAGCGGAAGTAGATGTAAGAGGGCTCCGGGCAGGGGTGAGGGGTCACCACCGGGGAGATCAGGGACTGAAAGTTCTCGCCAATAGGCTTAGCACTGGCCTTTCCTCACGGGGAGGTGGGGCGCAATGCTTAGGGCGGCTCCCAGTAGCTGGGCAGGGGAAGAACTGGGATTCATCCTGGATTCGCGCTGTGGCTCACGCACCCAAGGGTCCTGGGGCAAGGCTGGGCTAATACAATCAGAAACCTCCGTCATTGCTGTCCTGAAATGTGGTAAGAGAAAGAAAGTCATGAATGCAGGTGATGCTTTCCCTGATCCTCTTTCCTGCCCCTTTGTCTCACCCTGTCCTTGTTACCTGTTCCTCCTCTTTCCCTCCTTTCTCCCTGTCACCTGCTTCCTTCACTGCCCCTTCCTGTCTCCTAAACCTTCTACCCAGGCATTCTCAGCTTTGTCCTCCTGGCCTTGTTCCTTTCAGGACAGACAGAGGCAGAGCCCTAGGATGGGACTCCTACAAAGCCTCTGTCTTTTTCTAAGGTCTGTGTCTGCAGGAAGGCAGAGAATGCAAGAAAACACATATTTAAATTGGACTCAGCTGTCATTTTTCCTGCCTCTGTGATCTGTCTTCTTTTTTCTAGCCGTCTTTCTAGGAACAGCATCTGACTCCAGCTCCATTGCCCCCCAGGCCAAATCCAGGCCCCACTCACCTGTGGCACCTGCAGGTCAGGAACACAAACAGGACTCACAGCATCAGGGCCTTGGCCAGGAGGAGTCCACACAGCACAGAGACCAGGAGTTTGGGGTTAGCTGAGCCAGGGCAGATGGGGCACTTGATTTCCTGCAGGGAGGAAGGAGAAAGGAGGATGGACTTGGGCCAGGATGTCACCTGCTGCTGCTGTGTCCCTTAGCCAGGCCCCTTGTGGCTGGAGCTACTTGTATAAGGGCTCACCCTGAACTCACTATGACACAGGGGTGTGGGGCAGGAGCCACAGAGGTCTCTGGAACTGAGAGGAGACCTAGGCAGAAGGAACCTCAAAGTCTTGAATGGAGGAAAAAGCTGGCCAGGGGAAGAACAAGGGATTGGAGGTCAGGGAAGGGGAGGGATAGAGCCAGGGGAGCAGGAACTCTCCCTAACTAGGTCGGGTAGAACAGGACTATCAGGAGCCTCCTAGGAATCAGAGCCAAGTGCATCTTTAAGACCAGCCAAGATATCACACCTGAAGGAATGAGGCCCAGACACTGCACAGGACCTGACTAGACCCTTAGGAGCAGTGACAGAGCACAGACCTAGACCTCCTGTCTGCTGGTGCCAGGGGTCCTCCCAGGTCCCCTCTGTGTGGCACCTACTCCTGGCCTGCCTAGCTCTGATTCTGGGACTACCCTGTCCTAGCAAATCTGCTTTTCTCTTGTGGCCTCAGTAGCTTCCTGCTTCAGTATTACTTCATATTTGGTAAAGCTAGTGAGTTCTTTTTATTTTCACTTTTTCATGGTTGATTTAGCTAGTCATGCATTGTCTTTTTTTCATTTAATTTCAGAGTAAACTTTTAAAGTTCTTTACAAAAGTAAACTGAAGTTGTGTTTGGGATTGCATTTAAAGACTTGAATTTGGGGGAAATTGACATCTTTACAATGTTATTGCCTCTTCCAAAATCATGGATTATTTCTATTTATTCAGATCACCAGTCATTTTTTAGCATTTTGTAGTTTTCTCCAAATAGGTCTGGCTTAAATTAATTCTTTCTAGAAACTTAATGATTTTGTCGCTGTAATGAAAACTATCTTAGGTTTCTAAATGATTATTTTTCATAGAGATCTATTTGTGATGTACGTCGGTTGATTTTGTGTCTGGCAACCTTGCTAAATTCTCTTGTGAGATTTAATTGTTTGTTGTTTCTCATTCTTTTTCTGGGTAGATGATACCATCATCTGCAAGTCATGACGGTTTTTTCTCTTCTTGTCTAATCTTCTTTATTGTAACTTGTTTTCCTTTCCTTCAAGCATTGATCAGAACCTCTAATATTATAGAAGACATTAATAGTAGCTGCAGAAATCCTGAATTTGTTTGTTTATGCTTTCTTCACTAAATAATGTTTATTGTAATCATTGCTGTACAATCTTTACCAAGTTATCTGTTCTTATTTCCATTTTATTAAGAGCTTTTTCATATAACATAAATGTGCTCAAGGTTCCCAAATGCTTTTTGTGCAGCAGTTGACTTTTTCCCCTGTAGTTTATGAATTTGGTTGACTTATATTAATAGATTTTGTAAAGTTGAACAATCCTTTCTGTTTTGTGATAAAACTGTACTCGATCATAATACAGTCTTCTTTTTGATGCACTCTTGAATTCAGTTAGCTAATGGTAATTTGGGAATTGACTCCACGTGCGTCAGAGAAATAAACCTGTAATTTAGTTTTTTTAACCAGTTTAAATCACCTGGTTTTGTGATTTTGATGACACTAGCCCCTTCAAATAACCTGGGCTGTTCTTGCTTCTTTTCTATTTTCTGCAACATCTTGTATGAAATATAAATCAAATGTTTCTTAAACGATTAAGTTACCTGTAAAACCAGGTGAGTCTTGAATTTTCTGTGAGGGTGGAGCTTATCTACCATTCCAGTTTTCCTATTTATTAATCTATTGAAATTTGTTTCTTCTTGTGTTAATCTTTGCAGTTCATGTTTTTTAAGGAATGTGTGCACTTCTAAGGTTTAAAACAGCAAGATTTTGTTCAGGATTTATTTATTTTAAAATCTCTATAGAATGAGTGCATGGTTATTTTCTTCTTTTTCTTCAATTTGTTATCATCTTCTTTTATCTTCATTTGTCTTGACAAGAATATGGCTATCTTTTTAAACTTTCAAAGAATGAATTATGACTTGCCTTGATCTTCATTTTCAATCATTCAATTTATTTCAGCCCTTACCGTGATTGTTTCCCTCCTTTATGATTCTTTGGGCATGCCCCGGTGCTCACGTTCCATCTTCTTAAGATGCTTCCTTAGCTCATTAATTTGAAAGCTTTCAAGTCTTCCAACAAATATATTCAAAGCTACTAATTGATCTCCAATATTAACTATGCCCCATACTTTTTGATATGTAGTGGTGATATTATCAAAATATATTTTATTACATACTTAATAATTCACATATGAATGTATTAATAATTAGTTTTAAAAGTGCTATTTTATCTTTACTTCTCTTACGCATTCTTAATGTTATTGCATTGGGTTTGGAGAATATATTCGGTGTCATACTGATTCTTTGGAATTTCTTCATGTTTGTTATATGTCTTCATACAAGGTGTCTTTTTGTAAATACATTCCTTGTATTTGAAAGAATGTATACTATCTGTTTTTAATTATGTATAGGGTTATAAACATGTGTATATCTACTTATACATGGTTTACATAATATATATTATGAATACTGTATTATATAAAACATACATAATACATTTATATAGTTTAGAACAGTTTCAATCTGAAACTACATATTTATATATTTGAAAATATTATTTATTTAAAAGTATAATTTATTACATATTCATCCTATATTCTTATACATATCTTATAATATATATAACACATTTATAAATATTATATGATGGCATAGTACCTGGAATTTATTAGTTATTTGGCTTAGAACTTAGATCCCTCTATTTAGTTTTGGTCTGATTGGTCTTTGCTCCTCTGAGAGGTATGTGAGCCTCCAACTACAATAACTAATATTTACTTCTCCTTGCATTTCTGGTAGTGTTGTTTCATATATTTCATGGCCAAAATTTAGGCACACGTGCTTATGATGGCTCTATTTTCACATTCAAGCACATCTTTCATCAGTATATATAGTGTCTCTTTGTCTATTTTATAGACAAATTTATAGACATGATATTTTGCCTTAAATTCTATTTTGTTCAATATTAAGAGTACCAGAACAGTGTATTTTGTTTCCTAATAGTCAAATATAGTTTTCTTGTGTTTTGTTTTTTATTATACTTGTTAACTCGTCGTAGGGTACATGTGGATACGTTGCAGGTGTTGTCCCTCAGCAAGTATGTAACTACCTGTGCCGCATGTTGGCGTGCTTGCCACCCCATCAAACTCGTGCGGAGCACGCCATTCAACTCATCATTTACATCAGGTATACGCTCCTGCAATCCCTCCCCCCTCCCCCTTCCCCATGATAGGCCCCGGTGTGTGATGTTCCCCTTCCCAAGTCCAAGTGAACTCATTGTTCAGTTCCCACCTATGAGTGAGAACATGCAGTGTTTGGTTTTCTGTTCTTGTGATAGTTTGCTAAGAATGATGGCTTGAACCGGTCTGATGCGGTTTGATCCGGTCTGATCCAGTCTGAGCCGGTCAAAACCGGTTTGAACTGGTCTGATCCGGTTTCATCCGGTCTGATCTGGTTCGATCCAGTTCGATCCGGTCTGATCCGGTTTAATCCGGTCTGATCTGGTTTGATCCGGTTTGATACAGTCTGATCCGGTCAAAATCGGTTCGGTCCGCTCAAAACCAGTCTGAACCTTTTTGATCCGGTTTGATCTGGTTCGATTCGGTCCGATCTGGTTAGATCTGGTGAAAACCGGTTTGATCCGGACCGATCCGGTTTGATCCGGTTTGATCCGGTCAAAGCCGGTTCGATCCGGTCTGATCCGGTTCGATCTGGTCTGATCCGGTCTGATCCGGTTTGAACCGGTCTGATCCGGATTGATCCGTCCATCCGGTTTGAACTGGTTCCATCCGGTTTGATCCGGTCTGATCCGGTCTGAACCGGTTTGATCCGGTTTGAACTGGTTCCATCCACTTTGATCCGGTTCCATCCGGTTTGATCCGGTCTGATCCGGTTTGAGCCAGTTATATCCAGTTTGAACGGGTTCTATCCGGTTTGATCCAGTCTGATGCGGTCCAAACCGGTTTGAGCCAGTTCTAACCGGTTTGATCCGGTTTGAACCAGTTCCATCCGGTTTGAACCGGTTTGATCCGGTTTGAACCGGTCCCATCCGGTTTGAACCGGGTTGAACCGGTTCCATGCGGTTTGAAACGGTTTAAACCGGTATGAACCGGTTCCATCCGGTTTGATCCAGTCTGATCCGGTCCAAACCGGTTTGAGCCAGTTCTAACCGGTTTGATCCGGCTTGAACCAGTTCCATCCGGTTTGAACCGGTTTGATCCGGCTTGAACCGCTTCCATCTGGTTTGATCCCTTTCCATCCGTTTTGATTCGGTCTGAACCGGTTCCATCCGGTTTGATCCGGTTTGAGCCGGTTGGAGCCGGTTTGACCGGTTTGATCTTGTTTGAACCGGTTTGATCCGGTTTGAACCGGTTGGGGCCGGTTTCATCTGGTTTGAAACAGTTTGAGCCGCTTCGAGCCGGTCCCATACGGTTTGATCCGGTCTGAACCAGTTTGAACCGGTTTCAACCGGTTTGATCTGGTCTGAACAGGTTTGATCCGGTTTGAAGCAGTTTGAGCCAGTTTGATCCGGTTTCATCCGGTTTGAACCGGTTTGATCCGGTCTGAACAGGTTTGATCCGGTTTGAACAAGTTCGAGCCAGTTTGATCCGGTTTGAACCAGTTTGAGCCGGTTTCATCCGGTCTGATCCGGTTTGATCCGGTTTTAACCAGTTTGGAGCCGGTTTGATCCGGTTTGAACCAGTTTGAGCTGGTTTGAGCCGGTTCCATCCGGTTTGATCCGGTTTGAGCCGGTTGGAGCCGGTTCCACCCGGTTTGATCCGGTTTGAGCCGGTTGGAGCCGATTTGACCGGTTTGATTCTGTTTGATCCGGTTTGATCCGGTTTGAACCAGTTTGAGGTGGTTTGATCCGGTTTGATCCGGTTTGAACCGGTTTGATCCGGTCCCATCTGGTTTGATCTGGTCTGAACCGGTTTGAACTGGTTTGATCCGGTTTGAAACAATTTGAGCCGGTTTGATCCGGTTTCATCCGGTTTGAACAGTTTTGTTCCGGTCTGAACAGGTTTGATCCGGTTTGAACCAGTTTGAGCCGGTTTGATCCGGTTCGATCCTGTTTGACCTGGTTCCATCCGGTTTAATCCGGTTCCATCCGGTTTGATCCAGTCTGATCCGGTTTGAGTCAGTTATATCCGGTTTGAACCGGTTCCATCTGGTTTGAGCCGGTTCCATCCGGTTTCAGCCGGTTCCATTCGGTTTGATCCGGTCTGAACCGGTTTGATCCGGTTGCTTCCGGTTTGATCCGGTTACATCTGGTTTGATCCGGTCTGATCCGGTCCGAACTGGTTTGATCCAGTTCAATCCGGTTTGGAGCCGGTTGGAGCCGGTTTGATCTGGGTTGATCCTGTTTGAACCGGTTTGAACCAGTTTGAGCTGGTTTGATCCGGTTTGAACCGGTTTGATCCGGGTTGATCCGGTCCCATCCAGTTTGATCCACTCTGAACCGGTTGGATCCGGTTTGATCCGGTTTGAACCAGTTTGAGCCGGTTTGATCAGCTTTGATCCGGTTTGAACCGTTTGGAGCCGGTTTGATCCGGTTTGAACCAGTTTGAGCCGGTTTCATCCGGTTCCATCCGGTTTGATCCGGTCTGATCCGGTCCGAACTGGTTTGAGCTAGTTCTATCCGGTTTGATCCGGTTTGAACCCGTTCCATCCGGTTTGAACCGGTTCAGTCCGGTTTGAACCAGTTCCATCCGGTTTGAACTGGTTTGATCCGGTTGCTTCCGGTTTGATCCGGTTACATCCGGTTTGATCCGGTCTGATCCGGTCCGAACTGGTTTGATCCAGTTCAATCCGGTTGGAACCGGCTCCATCCGGTTCGAACCAGTTTGATCCAGTTTCTTCCGGTTTGAACCGGTTTGATCCGGTTTGATCCGGTCCGATCCGGTCCGAACTGGTGGTTCCATCCGGTTTGATCCGGTCTGATCCGGTCCAAACTGGTTTGAGCCAGTTCTATCCGGTTTGAAACGGTTCCATCCGGTTTGAACCGGTTCCATCCGGTTTGATCCCTTTCCATCCGTTTTGATTCGGTTCCATCCGTTTTGATCCGGTCTGAACCAGTTTAATCTGGTCTGATCCGGTTTGACTCGCTTTGAACCGGTTTCATGCGATTTGAACTGGTTGGAGCCGATTTGATCCGGTTTGAACCAGTTTGAGCCGGTTTGAGCCAGTTCCATCCGGTTTGATGTGGTTTGAGCCGGTTGGAGCCGGTTTGACCAGTTTGATCCTGTTTGAACCGGTTTGATCCGGTTTGAACCAGTTTGAGGTGGTTTGATCCGGTTTGATCCGGTTGGAACCGGCTTGATCCAGTCTGAACCTGTTTGATCCGGTTTGATCCGGTTTGAGCTGGTTTGAGCCGATTCCATCCGGTTTGATCCGGTCAGATCCGGTTTGATCCGGTTTTAACCGATTTGAGCCGGTCTGATCCGGTCTGAAGCGGTTTGAACCGGGTTGAGCCGGTTCCACCCGGTTTGATCCGGTTTGAACCGGTTTGAGCCGGTTTGATCCGGTTGGAACCGGTTTGATCCAGTCTGAATTGTTTTGATCCGGTGCCATCCGGTTTGATCCGGTCTGAACCGGTTTCAACCGGTTTGATCCTGTTTGAACCGGTTTGAGCCGGTTTGATCCGGTTTGAACCGGTTTGATCCGCTTTGAACCGCATGGGGCCGGTTTGATCCGGCTTGAACCAGTTTGAGCCGGTTCCATCCGGTTTAATCCGGTCTGATCCGGTTTCATCCGGTTTGAACCGGTTTGATCCGGTCCCATCCGGTTGCATCCGGTCTGAACCAGTTTGAACTGATTTGATCCTGTTTGAACCAGTTTGAGCCGGTTTGATCCGGTTTGAACCAGTTTGAGCCGATTTCATCCGGTTAGAACCGGTTTGATCCGGTTTGAACGAGTTTGAGCCGGTTTAGCCGGTTTGAGCCAGTTCCATCTGGTTTGATCCGGTCTGATCCGGTTTCATCCGGTTTGAACGTTTGAGCTGGTTTGATCCAGTTCCATCCGGTTTGATCCGGTCTGAACCGGTTCCATCCGGTCTGATCCGGTTTGACACGGTTTGAACCGGTTTGATGCGATTTGAACTGGTTGGAGCCGGTTTGATCCGGTTTGGACCAGTTTGAGCCGGTTTGATCTGGTTCCATCCGGTTTGATCTGGTCTTAACCGGTTTGATCCGGTCTGATCCAATTTGACACGGTTTGAACCAGTTTGATGCTGTTTGAACCGGTTTGAGCCGGTTTGATCCTGTTTGAACCGGTTTGAGCCGGTTTGATCCGGTTTGAACCAGTTTGAGCTGTTTTGATCCGGTTTGAGCCGGTTTGAACCGGTTTGATCCGGTCCCATCCAGTTTGATCCGGTCTGAAGCGGTTGGATCCGGATTGATCTGGTTTGAATCAGTTTGAGCGGGTTCGATCCAGTTCCATTCGGTTTCATCCGGTCTGAACCGGTTTCATCCGGTCTGATCCGGTTTGACTCGCTGTGA